ATGAAGCAGAGAGTGTTTGAGGAAAGTGACATCCGTAGGGATACCAAGGTTCTCGTTTATAAAGCTATTGTCCTCCCAACCCTGCTATACACCTGCGAGATGTGGACTGTCTGCAGGCATCCCATGCAACTCCTGGAACGATCCCATCAGCACTGCCTCTGGAAAATCCTGCAAATCTCTTGGGAAGACAAGCAGACAAACGTCAGCATGCTGGAAGAAGCAAAGACCACCAGCATTGAAGCGATGGTCCTCCGCCATCAACTCCACGTTGTCCGGATGCCTGACCACCGTCTCCCAAAGCAGTTGCTCTACTCTGAACTCAAGAACGGAAAACAGAACATTGGTGGACAGGAAAAGAGATTGAAAGATGGGCTCAAAGCCAATCTTAAAAACTCTGGCATAGACACTGAGAACTGGGAAGCCCTGGCCCTTGAGCGCTCCAGCTGGAGGTCAGCTGTGACCAGCAGTGCTGCAGAATTAGGAGGCACGAGTGGAGGGTGAAAGAGTGAAACGTGCCAGGAGGAAGGCGCATCAAGCCAACCCCGACCGGACCGCCTTCCACCTGGAAACCAATGCCTTCACTGTGGGAGAAGATGCGGGTCAAGAAGAGGGTTCCACAGCCACCTACGAATCCACAAGGAAACGCATCATGGACGACCATCTTACTCATCCAACGAGGGATCGCCTAAGTAAGTAAGTAAGTGGAAAGGGGCCAAAATGGAAGGCCTCAGAAGGAGGAGAGCAACCTCTGGAGCTAATTATGATGATAATAATAATAATAATAATAATAATAATAATAAATAGCTTTTAGATGTTGCGTGCGAAGTCCTCAGAAGGAGAAGAGCAACCTTTGGAGCTAGTTACTGTAATAATAATAATAATAATAATAATAATAATTTTGTGACGGCCTCAGAAGGAGAAAAAGAGCAACCTTTGGAGCTAATTATGGTAATAATAATAATAATAATAATAATAATAATTTTTAGATGTTGCCTGCAAAGGCCTTGGAAGGAGAAGAAGACCAACCTTTGGAACTAGTTACGATAATAATAGTAATAATAATAATAATAATAATAATAATAATAATAATAATAACTTTTAGATGTTGCCTGCGAAGGCCTCGGAAGGAGAAGAAGACCAACCTTTGGAGCTAGTTACTGTAATAATAATAATAATAATAATAATAATAATAATAATAATAATAATAATAACTTTTAGATGTTGCCTGCGAAGGCCTTGGAAGGAGAAGATCAACCTTTGGAGCTAATTACGATAATAATAGTAATAATAATAATAATAATAATAATAATAATAATAATAATAACTTTTAGATGTTGCCTGCGAAGGCCTCAGAAGAAGAAGAACAACCTTTGGAAATAATTGTGGTAATAATAATAATAATAATAATAATAATAATAATAATAACAACAACAACAACAACAACAACGTTTAGATGTTACCTGCTAAGGTCTCAGAAGGAGAAGAAGAGCAACCTTTGGAGCTAATTATGGTAATAATAATGATAATACAAATACTAATAATAGTTTTTAGATGTTCCCCTTGCCTCAGGGGTCGACTTGAGGTGCAACCGCCATATAAAATCCAGATTATCTGCTTTGAACTGGGATATATGGCAGTGTGGACTCAGATAACCAAGGGACTTTCCACACAACCCTATATCCCAGAATATCAAAGGGGAAAATCCCACATGATCTGCTTTGAACTGGAATACATGGCAGTGTGGACTCAGGTAACAGAGAGCCCTTCCACACCGTCCTATATCCCAGAATATCAAGGCAGAAAATCCCACATGATCTGCTTGGAACTGGGATATATGGCAGTGTAGACTCAGATAACCACGGGCCCTTCCACACAGCCCTATATCTCAGAAAAGCAGTATATAAATACTGTAAAAAACAATAAATTATTTCTCACACACCTCTCCTTGGGGCCCAGGTACACCATAGTTCAGATACACACAAACACAAGATATGTATATATATAGAGAGAGGGGGGGGGACACGTGTGTGTGTGTGTGTGTGTTGTGTGTGTGTATGTATATATATATATATATATATATATATATATATATATATATAATTTCTTTTGTCTCCAAGCGTGTCAATAGCTGAACAGTTTTCACTATGTTATTAGCTCCCTTGGGTTCCATTATTGTAAGAAAAGCAGGCATGGGCAAACAAAACAAGCTTGCTCCCTGCTCCTCCTCCTCTCACATATTTATACATGGCTATCATATCTCCTCTCAGCCTTCTCTTCTTCAGGCTAAACATGCCCAGCTCCTTAAGCCGCTCCTCATAGGGCTTGTTCTCCAGACCCTTGATCATTTTAGTCGCCCTCCTCTGGACACATTCCAGATGTGCCTGATTGTTTACTCTCCAGAATTGGACACAGTATTCCAGATGTGGTCTAACCAAGGCAGAATAGAGGGGAAGCATGACTTCCCTGGATCTAGACACTAGACTCCTCTTGATGCAGGCCAAAATCCCATTGGCTTTTTTTGCCGCCACATCACATTCCTGGCTCATGTTTAACTTGTTATCCACGAGGACTCCAAGATCTTTTCCACACATCCTGCTCTCGAGCCAGGCCTCATCGTCCCCCATTCTGTCTCTTTGCATTTTGTTTTTCCTGCCAAAGTGGAGTATCTTGCATTTGTCCCTGTTGAACTTCATTTTGTTAGTTTTGGCCAATCATATCTCTAATCTGTCAAGATCCCTTTGAGTTCTGCTCCTGTCCTCTGGAGTCTTGGCTCTCCCTCCCAATTTGGTCCCGTCTGCAAACTTGATGATCCTGCCTTCTAACCCTTCATCTAAGTCATTAATAAAGATGATTCTCTAACCTCACACCATTTCCGCACCGATAAAATCACAACCGCTCTCAATTTTGAGTTGTAATTGGGCACGTAACCTATAGAGACTTATATCGTTACACACGTGCAGTTTCAGCGTTCTGTGAAAAATAGAAGTGGGTCAGGGGAAATGTTTCATGAACGCCCCTCGTACAGGATTGTTTACCTTTGAGCATATAGTCTTTGGGTGCCATGATGTGATGGCCTTGGAAACGAGACTGAATCCATGGGCTGCATACTCATCCCAGAATGGCATTCAAGTGCTTGATTACAGTATGAATGGCAACAGTGTCATGCAATGTGTGAATTCACGGCGTCACCCTATGGACCATCTCCTATATCAGACCAGAACATTGTAAGTAAAACAGCAGAAAAACAACTAGCAATGAAACAGGGTGATGACAACTGAGTGATAATGTCAACTGGATGATAACTGGGTGATAATGTGTTAATGTTTTTAAATATGTTATTTTATTATGTGTTAATGTTTTTAAATGTTTTATGGTGTTTTGAGGCATTGAATCGTTGCCACTGTAAACTGCCCTAAGTCACCCAAGGACTGAGAAGGGAGGTGTACAAATATAGTAAATGAATAAAGAATAAATGGCAACAGGGTGATACCTGAGTGACGATGACAACTGGGTGATAATGACAACTGGATGATAACCGGGTGACAATGACAACTGGGTGATAATGACAACTAGAAAATAACTGGGTGATGATGGCAACTGGATAACTGGGTGATAATAACTGGATGAGAATGGCAACTGAGTGGTAACTGGGTGATAATGACAACTGGATGAAAATGGCAACTGGGTGGTAATGATAACTGGGTGATAAAGACAACTAGGTGATAATGAAAACTGGATGATAACTGGGTGATAATGACAACTGGATAATAGCTGGGTGATGACAACTGGGTGATAATGGCAACTATGTGATAACTGGGTGATAGGGACTACTGGGTGATAATGACAACTGGATGAGAATGGCAACTGGGTGGTAATGACAACTAGGCGATAAAGACAACTAGGTGATAATGACAACTGGGCGACAATGGCAACTGGATGATAACTGGGTGATGACAACTGGGTGATAATGGCAACTATGTGATAACTGGGTGATAGGGACTACTGGGTGATAATGACAACTGGATGAGAATGGCAACTGGGTGGTAATGACAACTAGGCGATAAAGACAACTAGGTGATAATGACAACTGGGCGACAATGGCAACTGGATGATAACTGGGTGATGACAACTGGGTGATAATGGCAACTATGTGATAACTGGGTGATAAGGACTACTGGGTGATAATGACAACTGGATGAGAATGGCAACTGGGTGATAATGATAACTGGGCGATAAAGACAACTAGGTGATAATGACAACTGGGCGACAATGGCAACTGGATGATAACTGGGTGATGACAACTGGGTGATAATGGCAACTATGTGATAACTGGGTGATAAGGACTACTGGGTGATAACGACAACTGGATGAGAATGGCAACTGGGTGATAATGATAACTGGGCGATAAAGACAACTAGGTGATAATGACAACTGGGCGACAATGGCAACTGGATGATAACTGGGTAATGATGGCAACTGAGTGATAACTGGGTGATAATGTCAACTGGATAATAACTGGATGATGATGGCAACTGGATGATAACTGGGTGATAATGGTGACTGGGCGATCATGACAACTAGGTGATAATGAAAACTGGATGATAACTGGATGATAATAACAACTGAATAACTGGGTGATGATCGCAACTGGGTGATAATGACAACTGGGTAACAATGGCAACTGGATGATAACTGGGTGGTAATGGCAACTAAGTGATAACTGGGTGACTACTGGGTGATAAGGACAACTGGTTGACGATGGTAACTGGGTGTTGATAATTGGGTGATAATGACAATTAGATGATAAGGACAACTGGATGATAACTGGCTGATAATGACAACTGTGACCGGAGTGTATGTGCATAAGAAGATTAAAATGCTGAACGGGGACTAAATTGGTGACAGAACTCACAAAACATAGGCATGTTCCAAGCAAAGTCATCCGTTTGATTTCACCATAAATCTATATGGAAACGTGTAACAAGGAACAGGAGAGAAGCTGAGGCAGTTCTATTTATTGGACGCTTCCCGTTTCATTCCTAATATGATACAGATATTCATTCTCCCATTCATACCTTTGTATAATCCCAGCCATTGAACGAAAAGCATCTCCCTTTCCCCCTGAAAACAAAACCAAAAAAAGAAAGAAAAGAAAAGAAAAGCAACCCCACAAGCAACTGAGATATGTTCTTTACACTGGAAATCATAAATGATAATCTGGTTTTGGGAATTCTCTTGACAATTAACGCCCTACGGAAGCCACTCCGAGCGGGGTCTCAGAAAGAGAAGGAAAGGGTTTTTTAAAAATCTTTGATTAAAAAACATCTCTTAAATAAAGCAGCTTCGGGAGTAAGAATGTCTTTCTTTTTTATATATAGATAGGTAAAGGTTCGGAAACATTCCCCTCTTCGCCCTCACCAAAAAAAAAATATTATTTTCCCCCCTCCAAAAATAACGCAGCAGGGAAATAAAATGGAACAGCGACAAGGAAACTGGTTGTCAAGCCCAGTCTCCAAGAGAAGGGGAGAAAGGTCCCGTCAAGTCCACGTGCTTCTTCCGTGGTCTGCAGTAAGGCCTAGAGGAGGAGGAGGAGGAGGAGGAGGAGAGTGGCGTGCTTTCAATAAAAGCAGACCGTGTGCAGGAAAGTCCTTCCACTTTTCTCTTCAAATTCCTGTAGCAGCTCATCTATTTCATTTTCCATATCTTCCGTATGTTGTATCTGGAAGCAAAGGAAGAAAGGCGGCTATAAGTATTGATTTAAAAATCGGGTTGTGACAGTCAGTTCACTTAAATCAGTTCACAAGATTGAGCTTTAACTAGCTGTACCTGCCACGTGTTGCTGTGGCCAACTTTCCCTCCCTCTTTCCTTCCTTCCCTCTTTTTCTTCTTTCTTCCATCTCTACCTGTTTCGTTCCTCCCTTTCTTTGCTCTTTGGTTACATCCTTCCTTCTCTCCTTTCCTATCTTCCGTTCCTTCTCTCCTTCCTTCCCTCTCTTTTTCCTTTCACTTTTTTATTTCCTTCTCTCCTTCCTTGCTTCTCTACCTTTCTTTCCTTCCTTCCCTATCTTCCGTTCCTCCTCTCCTTCCTTCCCTCTCTTTTTCCTTTCACTTTTTTATTTCCTTCTCTCCTTCCTTGCTTCTCTACCTTTCTTTCCTTCCTTCCCTATCTTCCGTTCCTCCTCTCCTTCCTTCCCTCTCTTTTTCCTTTCACTTTTTTATTTCCTTCTCTCCTTCCTTGCTTCTCTACCTTTCTTTCCTTCCTTCCCTATCTTCCGTTCCTCCTCTCCTTCCTTCCCTCTCTTTTTCCTTTCACTTTTTTATTTCCTTCTCTCCTTCCTTGCTTCTCTACCTTTCTTTCCTTCCTTCCCTATCTTCCGTTCCTCCTCTCCTTCCTTCCCTCTCTTTTTCCTTTCACTTTTTTATTTCCTTCTCTCCTTCCTTGCTTCTCTACCTTTCTTTCCTTCCTTCCCTATCTTCCGTTCCTCCTCTCCTTCCTTCCCTCTCTTTTTCTTTTCACTTTTTTATTTCCTTCTCTCCTTCCTTGCTTCTCTACCTTTCTTTCCTTCCTTCCCTATCTTCCGTTCCTCCTCTCCTTCCTTCCCTCTCTTTTTCCTTTCACTTTTTTATTTCCTTCTCTCCTTCCTTGCTTCTCTACCTTTCTTTCCTTCCTTCCCTATCTTCCGTTCCTCCTCTCCTTCCTTCCCTCTCTTTTTCCTTTCACTTTTTTATTTCCTTCTCTCCTTCCTTGCTTCTCTACCTTTCTTTCCTTCCTTCCCTATCTTCCGTTCCTCCTCTCCTTCCTTCCCTCTCTTTTTCCTTTCACTTTTTTATTTCCTTCTCTCCTTCCTTGCTTCTCTACCTTTCTTTCCTTCCTTCCCTATCTTCCGTTCCTCCTCTCCTTCCTTCCCTCTCTTTTTCCTTTCACTTTTTTATTTCCTTCTCTCCTTCCTTGCTTCTCTACCTTTCTTTCCTTCCTTCCCTATCTTCCGTTCCTCCTCTCCTTCCTTCCCTATCTTCCGTTCCTCCTCTCCTTCCTTCCCTCTCTTTTTCCTTTCACTTTTTTATTTCCTTCTCTCCTTCCTTGCTTCTCTACCTTTCTTTCCTTCCTTCCCTATCTTCCGTTCCTCCTCTCCTTCCTTCCCTCTCTTTTTCCTTTCACTTTTTTATTTCCTTCTCTCCTTCCTTGCTTCTCTACCTTTCTTTCCTTCCTTCCCTATCTTCCGTTCCTCCTCTCCTTCCTTCCCTCTCTTTTTCCTTTCACTTTTTTATTTCCTTCTCTCCTTCCTTGCTTCTCTACCTTTCTTTCCTTCCTTCCCTATCTTCCGTTCCTCCTCTCCTTCCTTCCCTCTCTTTTTCCTTTCACTTTTTTATTTCCTTCTCTCCTTCCTTGCTTCTCTACCTTTCTTTCCTTCCTTCCCTATCTTCCGTTCCTCCTCTCCTTCCTTCCCTCTCTTTTTCCTTTCACTTTTTTATTTCCTTCTCTCCTTCCTTGCTTCTCTACCTTTCTTTCCTTCCTTCCCTATCTTCCGTTCCTCCTCTCCTTCCTTCCCTCTCTTTTTCTTTTCACTTTTTTATTTCCTTCTCTCCTTCCTTGCTTCTCTACCTTTCTTTCCTTCCTTCCCTATCTTCCGTTCCTCCTCTCCTTCCTTCCCTATCTTCCGTTCCTCCTCTCCTTCCTTCCCTCTTTTTCCTTTCACTTTTTTATTTCCTTCTTTCCTTGCTTCTCTACCTTTCTTTCTTTCCTTCTTTCCCTCCCTCCTTCTCTCCTTCCTTCCCTCCCTATCTTTAGTTCCTCCTCTCCTTCCTTCCCTCTCTTTTTCCTTTCACTTTTTTATTTCCTTCTCTCCTTCCTTGCTTCTCTACCTTTCTTTCTTTCCTTCTTTCCCTCCCTCCTTCTCTCCTTCCTTCCCTCCCTATCTTTAGTTCCTCCTCTCCTTCCTTCCCTCTCTTTTTCCTTTCACTTTTTTATTTCCTTCTCTCCTTCCTTGCTTCTCTACCTTTCTTTCTTTCCTTCTTTCCCTCCCTCCTCTCTCCTTCCTTCCCTCCCTATCTTTAGTTCCTCCTCTCCTTCCTTCCCTCTCTTTTTCCTTTCACTTTTTTATTTCCTTCTCTCCTTCCTTGCTTCTCTATCTTTCTTTCTTTCCTTCTTTCCTTCCCTCCTTCTCTCCTTCCCTCCTTCTTCCTTTCTTTCTTCCCCTTCTCTCGTTACTTCTTGACTGTCCCTTTCCATTTAATATTGTATTTATATCTTAGAGAAGAAGGAAAGGAAGGAAGGAGGGAAGGAAGGAAGGAAGGAAAAGGAAGGGAGAGAAAGAGGGAAAAAGTAAAGAAAGAAGGGGAAGGAAGGAAGAAAAAGGGGGGGAAAAGGGAGGAGGGAAGGAAGGAAAGAGAAAGAAGGAGGAGGAAGGAAAAAGGGAGGGAGGGAAAAGGGAAAAAGGAAAGGAAAAGAAAGGAGGGACAGGAAGGAAGGAGGAGGGAAAGGAAAAAGGATGAAGAAAGGGAAGGAGAGAAGAAGGGAAAGAAAAAGGGAAGAAGGAGAAAGGGAGGGAGAAGGAAGAAGGAGAAGGAGGAAGGAGGGAGGAAGGAAGGAAAGGACGGAAAGAAGGGAAGGAAAGAAAAGAAAGAAGGAGGGACAGGAAGGAAGGAAGGAGGGAAAGGAAAAAGGGGATGAAGAAAGGAGGGAGAGAAGGAAATGAAAGGGAAAGAAATGAACAAAGGGAAAGAAGGAGGAAAGGGAGGGAGGAAGGAAGGAAAGGAAGAAGGAAGGAGGGACAGGAAGGAAGGAAAGGAAGGAAAAGAAAGAAGGAGGGACAGGAAGGAAGGAAGGAGGGAAAGTAATATATTATATAGTAATCTATATAACAATATATAAAATATTGTATTTATATCTTACATAGAAAGAAGGAAAGGAAGAAGGAAGGAAGGAGGGAAAGAAGGGAAGGAAAAGAAAGGAGGGACAGGAAGGAAGGAAAGGAAGGAGAATAAAGGAAGAAGGAAGAAAGGGAAAGAAGGAGGAAAGGAGGAGAAGGAAGGAAAGGAGGAGGAAGGAAGAGGAAGGAAGAAAAGGAAAGGAAAGAGGAAGGAAGGAAAGAAGGAAGGAAGGAAGGAAGGTAAAGAAGAAAAGAAAGAAGGAGAAGAAGGAAGAGAAGGAGGGAAAGGAAAAAGGGAATGAAGAAAGGAGGGAGAGAAGGAAATGAAGGGGAAAGAAATGAACAAAGGGAAAGAAGGAGGAAAGGGAGGGAGGAAGGAAGGAAAGGAAGGAGGGACAGGAAGGAAGGAAAGGAGGGACAGTAAGGAAGGAAAGGACGGAAAGAAGGAAAGGAAGGAAGAAAGGGAGGAAAGAAGGGAAGAGAGAGAAGGAAGGTCCTTCACTCAAGCACTGTTGACCTTCCTTGCTTCCTCCTCCTCCTCCTCCTCCCCTTCTTCCTTGCTTGGGGGCTCTGCCGCTGCCACTCATCCGCCCCTTCCTCTTCCAACAGGGAAAGGAGGAGACCACCCTACTGACATAGCAGGGAAAGAGAAGGAGCTCCATGCGGCAAGCTTCCACCTCCATTCTCATGGTACCCACTCTCGCTTGTGTGTGTGTGTGTGTGTGTGTGTGTGGTGCCGTGCACTCGCGCCTGGCTCCTAATGCTTTAACGGGCGGCTGTTTCCCCACGAGGAGGGGTAAACAGTATTTCTTGTTTCTTTGTCAGTGTTGATGTGGAGAGTGTCTGGTTTGCCTACTCTGGAACATGCAACATATCATTGTCCTTCTTTAGGGGTCCCTTTCAAATCTATGATACTATATCTCTGTGTGTGAATCATATCTATCTCTGGCTGGATGGCTCTTTGTCAGGAGGGCTTTGATTTTCTTGCCCTGGTGAAGGGAGTTGGACTGGATGGCCTTAAGTATTTTTGGTTGAGTTTGGGAGTTGTAGTTCACCTCCACCCAGAGAGCACTGTGTGGGACGTTTGCACCAGTTCTGTCATTGGTAGGGTTTGGAATGCTCTTTGATTGAACTATAAATCCCAGTAACTACAAATCCCAGGTGTCAAGGTCTATTTCCCCTCAAACTCCAATACATGGGGGTTCTGTGTGGGAAGTTTGCCCCGATTCTGTCGTTCGTGGAGTTCAGAATGCTCTTGTCCATACAGAGTAGAAAAGAATAGGAAAAGGTTAAGGGAGAGGCAGTGGGTGGGATCATGCAAATTCTACACCAATGGGGAGTGTAAGAAACACTGGGATGCCTGTGGTGGAGGAAACACGTACAATCTAGTAGGATATTGTCCCTGAATGAAAGCATTCCTTGGGTGGTGGGCAGTATTGGTGGAGGACATTCGTTTTCCATTTGAAGTAAACTGACCTAGGATTGTTTTTGCACGCCCATCACTTCCCGAAAATTCACCCTAATTGTATTTTACCTGCCATGTCCAGCATATTTTAAAATTTTAGTTATTACATGTGGCCCAGCCATAAGTTTTTAAATGTCGTCGTGCTATTATTTATTTATTTATTTATTTATTTGCAGCTTTTCTCTTCCGCCCTTCTCCTCACCCCGCGGGGGACTCAGGGCGGATTACAGTGTACACATATATGGCCAACATTCAGTGCCAATTTTAACATACAACATATACAGACATACACAGGGGCTATTTAACTTTTTTCTGGCTGCCAGGGAAGCTTTCATCGTCCATCTGCGACACTGATGAAGCACTTCTGCATTCCCCACATGCTTTTGCTGGAATCCTTTTTATGGCCTCATAAATCAGTTAATTCAGCCTCCCCACACTTTAAGGTGGTACCTAATTTTCCTACTTGACAGATGCAACTGTCTTTCGGGTTGCAAAGGTCGACAACAGGCTACACAATTGGTTGGAAACCCACTCCAACCCGTGCTGGCTTTGAACTCATGACCTTTTGGGTCAGAGTGATCTTAATGCAGCTGACACTCAGCCAGCTGTGCCACAATCCCGGTGATATTGTTAATGTTTATTGTTTATTTGCTGTTATGAGTTTTATTTACTGCTTGCACTATTGTTGTTTTTGCTTTGTTATTGCTGTGTTG